GGGCCGGCCGCCCGGGGGGCGGGTGTGCCCGCCGGGGGGGGGGCGGGGGGAGCCATAGGGACCCCCGGGCCAGCACGCAGGCTGGGCCAGAGTTGTGACGAGTACCTGCCTGTTGGTTGCCTGCCCCTGGAGAGGAGCAGGGCAGTCTTCAGCAGCAGATGAAGTCCTGTGAGACCCCACGCTACCCCAGTCCTGCCTTGGTTTTGTCTGCACATGCTGCTAGGAAGAAGCACAGGGCTAACAACTCTGCCTGGGCTGGGACAGCCCTCCGCATGGAAGCCAGCTCCTCCGACCTGCCATCCTCCCGGCTGCTGGAAGAGCCTCGGCGTTGTGGGCCCGTCACCCAGAAACTTCTCAGAAACCTAAAGCAAAAGAGAGACGTCTCAGCGGCGCTGTCAGGGAGGGGAGGGCAGGGGTCCGGGGCAGCAGGTGCACCGGTGGGGTCCCACAGCGCCCTGGGAGAAAGCACGGCCTGTACCTGCCACAGGACGGAGGACGGAGCACGGCCAGCCCTGCCTTTCGCTGCTGCGGCTCTGCCATCCCACGGCCCCCCCCGCCCCTTTAGGGGTCTCTGAAATACGGTCCTTATGGCACGGAGCCAGAGCAGGCTCCGTGCACGGGGCCGGGGCTGTAAGGAGAAGCCTCTTCTTCCCCCTGCTCAGTAATTAGCCCACTGTGCACAGCGCCAAGCTCTGAGAGCACTGAAGAATGAGGTTTAAATGGGATTTAATGAAAATACCAGCAGTACTGTGGCAGAGAGCACTGATGACACACGGTCTGCACCTCCTTCCATCAGGGCATAAGGTACCTGTGCCCATCGGGAAGGACCGTGGCATGGCCAGCAGCGGCAATCCCACTGCAGGGCGGCCCAGCGGGGTTGGCACGGGAGGGGTCTGCACTTCTCTGAGTGCCCACAACACTCAGGTGCTTTACTGGCTTTGAACCCCAAAGATTCATAATTTCCTTATTATTTTAAACACAATCTTATTTAACATGGTATGGCGAGAGTTGCAGAATTACTTAATATTGATCACAGAAAGGCTGGGCGATGGAGACAAGATCCATGTTGCTATGTGTGGCTTAGCAACATATAAATGTATTCACACAGAATAATGAAATTATCGTGAGGAAACAAAGCAGCCATCACTTGAAGAGATGGAGGATGTGGAGGCCTCTTGGAGCTCTTGTTTGCCAAGACAAGGAAGACAGTACTTATTGTTTGTGCAAATATGTGAACCCCCCCGGCCATCCCCTGCTTACATAAAGGGTGTAATGAATCCGGGCAGTGCGCTTGCTGCAACGCGCAGCTTTGTACAGCTGGGCTGGAGCTCATTACTGCGGAAACGTGCGGCCTCTCTGAGTGAATTGAGTCCTTGCGGGGGGAGCCCTAATACTGGGGGT